AATCCCAATTCAGTCCATCAATCATTTCCCTGTAGTTACATTTCACATAACAGAATTCATTTTCATCACTATGGAATGCATTTAATCCTAGCACATGATTGGACTGCATTTGTTTTCTGAGTCCAAATTGAAATACAGAAGCTCTTTTTCATCCTTTTTTAAGTTTTGAATTCAATTACAGAGTAAATTACAGAAGCTCTTTCTCATCATTTGAGAGTAGTATTATTGTTTTCAAAGAGTTAGAAATTTGGAAAGTACTAGAATTAAAACAAAGATTACAACTTTGCTAGTTAAACATTGCATGAGCAACTACATACTGAAGTTTAAAAAACCAACAAGCAGTGAAAATGTCAAATGCAGCAAACAATGGGAATCTGAGTAATATATTGGAGACTAATTCAGATCCAAGTAAATCAACATAAGGAATTCCAAACAAAATTAAAAGAGATATGAAAAAAACCTTTGGAGTTTCTGAGGGACTTGAGAACGGTCTTGTACCCCAAGGTGAATTTGCCACTCTTCATGACCAGAGCCAACCTGTTGTTGATGCTCTCATGAGTCTTCTTCTGCGAAATCATTTCACGGAACCGAAAAGCAAATCAGCCATTTTTTAACAGAATCTGATGTGATATGAACGACGACGAAAAGCAAATCAGCCATTTTTACCGTCTTCTTCGCCGCCACCATTGTTATGTCTGCTCGGAGGACGGAGGACCACGATTCGATGCGAATTTAGGGTTTTTTATGAGGAAAAAGCTAATGGGTATCTTTTTTTTTTTACGGAGTAGTAGTGAAGCCCGCATACATTATAGGATTAAGCTATGTGTACCCTAACATTTATACCCCAATTTGTACCCGCAGGTTTGCACTAACATTTTGTTTTGGTGTAAAACTAATTTTTTGTTAACGCATCAACATTTTTGTCCGTGTACATTTTTGTTAACGCACCAACACTTATGTCGGTGTAAATCATCAAAATGTCTGTGCAAAGCTGTGGTGTACAAGTGGGGTACATTTTTTGGTGTAATTGTAGCATGGTTCTACATTATATTCACTGATTTAATAGAAATGGATTTGAAGTTTTGGGATTTTAAATTAGACTTCAAATCTTTATTTTTTACATTTTTAATACACATTTTCTAAAATTAAATTAAATAAAACTTTATTTTAATTAAATTTAAATGAAACAATTCCTTAAATTAAAAAAATTACATTCAATAAAAAAGCACATTTAATAAAAAAATACATTAATAAAAAAATTAATGCCGACCAAAATCGTTGTGAGAAGAAACAAAGCCGAACCCTCCAGAACCCGAGTTAATAAAATTTGCATTCTTCCTTTCAGTCGGCCGTAGAATGAGGTCCTCGTTGTCGGGATCGTCTACGTTGAATGGAGGTCTTTTTTCAAAGAGCCGCTAGTTTCATCGGCCTCAACCTCGCGGAGAATCTTTTCTTTGACGATCTGGTCTCGGGGTTGTTGAGTTGTTGCCATTTGGGTGAACGACTTAAAATTCTCTAAAGATCGATGGGGACCTTACCATGGCGTCCGTCGTCTTGATTTTACATTTTTGTAATTAGTTCATATTATTAGTTTTATTTGAAATACTAACATTTAATAAAAGATTATGTATCCAAATAAGGCATATGTGTGGCATGACCTAGTAAAATGAGATTTGTATTGTTTTTAGGTCTTCCACACAAAAATAGGCCAAAATCTGGCAAAATTTGTTTAATGTAAAAGATGGAACACCCAATTCGGATGCCCCTACTCTCGATCCTACCGGATAGTGAAGAAGAAGGTAAATCATGGTTTAGTCTATTGGTGACATTACTATTGTTGTTGGTCTGATATGCTATGGTCTGATTTGATTGGATCTGATATAAACATGATTTATATGCTATGGTCAATTTAGTGTAAAAAAGAAGAATCGTGTAACTCTTTTAGAACCCGTTTGGAAAAGGGAAAAATGACAAAGGAGAATTCGGAAAAGATGAAAAATGGAGTCAAAGGAGAATGAAATCCAAGTCAACCTGAAAATGAAGCCTAAAATCTTGATTTTGTTGTTTTTCTCAAGAAGTCATTTTCCATCTCATCCTCGCATATCTTCATTCTACGCCATCCACTCCCCTCCTTGTCGATGTCCCAAGTTTTCACCACTGAAATCACCGGCTTCCCCCATCTTCTTCCTCCCCGTCGCAACTGCCACACCCTCTCCTCCCTCCACCCACTCATCTTCTTTTTTGTGAGTTGTTCAAAATTTCAATTTGTTGAGATTTGATTTTCGTTGAGGGATGAATATGGGTTAATTCTTTCTCCGGCTTTCAAAATTGGGAAATTCCTTCAGCTTTCATATTTAAATTAAAAATTTATGTGGAATTTTAGAGTCGGATCTTTGGTTCAAATTTGATTTTCACGTTTTCCCATCTCTATTTTCAAATGCAAATCAAATGGAAATACATAATTTTCAATCTTTCATCTAAACATCAAAAAAGTCA